ACGACGAACGTGCACTACTAACTGCAGATTTTTTATTATATATATATTATATACGTATCTTTACAAAAAGAAAAATATAGCATGATTATTCTTTTTTTTATTTTATTTTCTTAATTTTTCTTGGCGACGTCAGCGCTTTTGATAAGAAAAAAAAAGAAGAAAAAAACAAACCGAATCGTTTCGATCAAAATACTTTTATGCAGAATAAATTGGAAGAAGTTACGCGTACCAAAGGAGTTTTTTTTTTGGTTGAATATTACAAAATTAAAATAATTATACTTTTTGTGTACTTTTAAGAATCCGTATATGATTTCGTGGTTAACAGAAGTGAAATCGTGGATCAATCGTTTCGAAGAATTTTTTACTCGACGACCATGGTGTATTGGTCTTCAGGGTAAAAAAATCTCGTTTATAAATTTTTCGTTGCACATATATCCGTTTCTTTCGAATTCATCATAAAACAATGTGTATATATAAATTAAGTAAACGCGAATAAGCACCTACTTTTTAAACGTATGAATCATATTAGAAATTAAATGATGTATTTAGTTGTATGTATTTAAGTTATATTTGCATTTGACATAGTAAGCAAGAGATTTTTTCCAAGTATTTGAGAAAAATTACGTATATACATTATGTATATACATATATATAAACGTAATTTTTCTCAAATACTATATAACTTAGAAAAAACAAAAGAACAATAAAAAGAGGATTGAAAATATTCCGACAATCTTTTTAAATCTTTTTAGATAATTCGTAGGTGATACGTTTAAAGATTCTTTTTTTTTTATATATATGTATATTATAATCTCATACATCTATCCATTTAATACGATATTGCGTATTAAAAGATGCCGCTATGGTTGGCAACGTCGCACCTCGTTTCCTGTCTCTCTCTCTTTTTCTCTGCTTTACTATTCACGCGAACCCTACAGTTTATACGATATTACGAAAAAGTAGAAATTCGGGACGTTCTCACTAGATAATTTAAGAAAAAATTAAATGCTTCTTACTATAAAACACCTTGACAAAATACTCTTTAGAATTATGTGCTCCAAAGAATAACATAGCTGTAATTACAGTATTTTATTAAAAAAAAAGGAACCAAAATGTGAAGATTGTCAACATTAAAAAAATATGGGTTACTAAAAATATATGACGCACACACATACACATCGTCACCTCACATATTCATCGCAACTAAAGGAAGATGTGTATATGTAAATTGTATATTCAAGGCTAACAATTGTGAAGTAGTCACATTGTACTGAGCTGGTTTGCTTTTACGTGCCAGCACACGCCTATGAAAAGCCTCCATTGTAAATTTCGTCGAACGTGTCGTGTGTCGGTAGAGAATACACGAATCCGTACGATAAGTACGTTCTTTTTGCGATAGAAAACATCAACACAAACTGAGAGATAAATGAGGAAGGCGCTCTTACACGTGAGAGAAAATATAATGAAATAAATAGATCGCGACCGACGAGGGTCATTGATTTATATTTCGAGCCTGTTACACTTACTTCTTATAATATAAAACTAACGAAATTCGATCAAGATTCGATGATTTTAAGAACGACGACGAGAAAGTTAATTTGTGAGATATTCTCACCATTTAATAAATTATAAATAGCATCAGTAAGTATAAAACGCAACTTTGGATTTTATTCGTAAAAAAAACCAATTATCGTTCCTATTTTTAATATAGCGGGTTATCTTTTTTTTTGTTTTGTTTTAAAACTATTTATAGTACATAGTTAAAGTCAATAAAATACAAAATGAACGATTTATCGAAAAAGAAATATGATTACTTGACGACATACAACACAACCCCGATGTAAACACGACAATGGGAAAGTTTTGTGATGTTGGTTGTGGAAAGAAAAGAAAATTCTAAATAACTTAATTTCTCCACACGCTCGCATACATCCTTTGAAGGAATTAAAGGCCTCTTTTCCAAATTTCTTTTATTCCGAATCCTACAATACAATTATAAAGCGGCATCTTTCATTTATTTTTTTATTTTTTTTTTCTCTTTTCTCACGGTTACACCAAGCGTGTCGGAAAGATGAAAAAAAAGATGTTGCGACGTTGGCCCCGTACGCGAAGTGCTACGCCTATGTGAACAGGGCAAGTTATAAAGAAATGAGAGGAAAGGAGGGGATAGAGAAGGATAGAGAAAGAAAGAAAGAAAGAAAGAAAGAAAGAAAGAAAGAAAGAAAGAAAGAAAGAGAGAGAGAGAGAAAGAAAAAAAGAAAGAAAAAAAGAAAGAAAAAAAGAAAGAAAGAAAAAAATATAAATTACGAGAGAAAGATGAGGGGGAAAAGATAAAATAATATAATTCCGTTAAGAGAAAGATAGTTTTCGCTAGCACCTGTCACCCCCGATCGAACATTCTCGAGAACTCACACCAGTGGAGGTTCTGATCGAGAGACAGAGAGTGCGCACGAACTTTTACTCTTTTTTTCTAACGACACGACGACGACACGAAGACTCGCCGGCCGGCATCCGTTCCAAATTTAAATTCGCAAGTTAGCTTTAGAAAGTTATGGTGGACGTGCTAGAAACGTACTTCGCCGAATGTTTTTCCTTTATTTCTCTCCCTTCTTTTTTTTATACTCGTTTTCTCTCTATTTTTCTCTCTTTCTCTTTTTCTATCTCCTCTTTTATTCCGGCAAACGTAAAAAAGAAAAGATGGTATAATTGTAGGTTAAGAACGCTTCGAAAAATACTCACGAATCTTATCCTTCTTTATCACAATGTTAAAAAGCCACTAGAAACAATAAGGTGGCAACAAGAATAGAAGTTGATGACGAGACTTTCGATGAAACTTTAATACGAAAGACACTTTAAAAAAATACCGTCGTAAAGAAGATTTCGAAAGAAGACGCACATTTAGTAAAACGCAAGAGCTTCGAAGAGACCAACTGCCGGAATCCCCCCTCCTTAGTCCGTCTTGTCGCACAATCGTCGCGCAATCGTCGCGCACACGCCGCGCCACCGATTCTCATTGGTTTCGACCTCCTGACACGGCGACCAATCGCGCTCTCTGTCTCTTGCTTGGCCTGCGCGCGCATACGAAGCGCCGAATTCGATCGCGATCATTTCAAACGCGCTTTTTCATCTACGATTATTTTCTTTTTTTTTTCTTATCGATTCATGGACCACTTTTCGGTCTATTCTCAACTGAACATCCAATGAAATCGCGATATAAATTGGCTACTTAAACGTTTGTCTATTTCTATCCATTAAATTAAATTATCACACGATTATATGTAAATAAATAAATTCATATAATTGATTCTTTCATAGTAATTAAAGAAAACCAATTAAAATGACTGATTGGGCCAACGGTAAGAGAATGCGCTACGTATGCAGGAGCTAGCGTCATATTCAAGCCAAGATTCCTGACCGAGTATACGAAGCATCGCTGGTATTTCTAATACGACCAATAAAGTCTCATTATTAAGAGTAATAAAAATACAATCGGCTATTGAGAATTAAATTAACAGCATCGATCGAATTGATTTTCATGTAGGATTACGTCGATGACAACGTAATCTTTGAGAAATTTGTATCGATCAATATCAATGTTAGCGTATAAAAAATTAATAGAAACGGAACAAGACGATGATATGACGTTACATATTTTTTTTGTTTATTTTTTTTTTTTTTTTGAAAAAAAATGCGGAAATTGGAATCGTCTGAGAAGAATAGATAGATCGACAAATACTAAAATGAACGATTGCCGATGGAGTTATATATTGCCTATAGAAAATGTGGTTTGATTGGAGAGTAATTAAAAGCGAGTATCCGTTCGTAGTTATAATGTGTGGACTAACGACTAGCAGTTACTGGAAAGAGAGAAAGAGCAAGGAGATAAGGAAAAGAATAAGGCATTTACGGTTTTTAAAAGAGAGAAGGCCAGAGCGTTGATCTGATTTGCGAGTCGGCGAACGACAATCAGTGCAGGAAGTGCACTGACTGGCACGAGCTGGTGAAAGTCAAAGTATAGGCGGAAAGTGGGCCGAGTGCTTCGTCAAATATTAAGTTAAAAAAGTTTGGACGTCATTTCTATAAGGATAATGAACAAAATAATCCCTAAGGGAGAATATAGATATTGGTTATAAGGTGCTATCTTCTTTACATGGAAGACGAAACTTGGCACGATTGTATTGTACGTGTTATAGATATCACCCCGAGATGAGTTTTAATCGTAAGAAGAAAATGAAAAAAAAATAGAGATAGTTTGAATATAGGAATGTGAAAAATAGTTCTTTTCGAACGGCTACGAGAACGAGGACGAGGAATAAGACGTAGATGAAAACGACGAGGACGGCGACAAGACGGGCGTGTCGCTCGCTTTACCGTTTCTAAAATAAGTAACAACCCTCTTTCCAGTAGTAGCTTCTCTCTTCGCATCGAAATAGCATCCAAAAGCATAAAATTTGTTCTTTTTAAGCGTGCACTCAGCGTTTTTCACTCGAGCTTGCCGGGGACGTTGTTGAAAGAATAAAAGCTATGCCTAACGCGAACGCGCGAACAATTGGAAATAATGAGCGAGACGAAAGTCGATGTAAAACCTAACGGATTCACAAACGAAAGGCTAATGAGCCGTCAATGTAAATTTTTACCACGAATATATATATATCTAGTAGATATACGCGAGACTCTATTGTACGCTTAGACAAGATTCATTCGCTGATGAATATTATCGTAACAGAAAGGTCTAACGAAAATTTATAACTTACATAATTTTCATACAGACAACTTAAAGCAGTTCGAACTTTGTTGAAGTTGATTGGCTTCGTCTGACTCGAACTTACATTCTTGAACATCGATTATTCTTTAATATAATAAGAATTAGAACAGAATATTAACAGGAGGGAGAATAAAAGTTTGAAATATTTTAGGAGCAACGGTAAGAAGGGATGTATCATTGAATTCACATTTAAAGTACAAAAATGAAGTGTTGAAAGAGTCACAATAATACTTACTGATATCGTTGTTGGCTGACGAGTCTTTGTCGTCAAGGGTTGTCGATTCTAGAGTAACTTTGAGGTCTGTATTATTTTCCTGGAAATTATTCTCGTCCGTAGGCATATTTTTGTCCCCCTGGGAAATGCCGTGCGAGAAATTGGCAACAATATTAGGAGCATTGTCGAGAAGTGGATTTTCGAGTACATCGTTCACGTTTTCCGCATTATTCGCGTCATCGACAGCATCAACGTCGGTCTCTGGTCCAAGATCCTCATAAATGTAATCCGCGGTATCGTTCTCTTCGTGTTTTCCATCAGCATTTCCACAAGTTATCTCATCGTGAAAACCACCGTCATCCATTGGCGTTTCATCCGATCCATTAGCGTGCCTCTCTTCTTCATCGTTGTCGTACGATTGCTGATGCTGTTGTTGGTATTGCTTCATCTGCTTAAAGAACAAGCCATCGTTTAGATCCTTTTGTACGTAGGGATTATTTAAGGCCATGTTTTTCATCGATTTCACGACGAGAACAGAATTTACGTCGGTCGACCTCGTTGTTATATCACTCGGTGGCGTTAAGAATACTACAATCGCTGTTATATTGTCCAACGAGCCTGCGTGTTTGGCTGCTTTTATCAAACTCGTAACAGCGTAATTTGGATCGTCTGAAAGAAAAACAGAAATAACTGTATATATAAATATATATATATTGTTGATTGGATTTCGTTTTTTTAAGTAATCTCTCGATTCGTTTACTTATCACCGACAAGCGCGTTGTTATTTACATCAAAGTGTTGCGTTCATGTCTATTACGGAATATATGCTATCGTTTTGATAACGGTGAATCATACTTTTCTCGGCATAGCGATTACGTAAATTCTAAGTTCATCGATGTTGACTGAATAACGGATTATTATCGTTGTAACAACGACATAAATATTCCCTCTATATAAATAGATTTAACTTTAAATTAAAAAACAACATAATAATCAAAACCCTATTGAATATTCATAAAGTGAAGTCAAAAATTCATATCTGTAACACCTTCAATCATCCGACCGACACGCGGAACCCGTTCCCATTTCTCTTTAGAAACACCCGTTGAGCGAATACGATTGGGAAGAATTATGATAGACGACCATCCACCGCGTTCCTGTTGTCAATAAAACAATATACGTTTCGAATGGATTTTTCGAAACAACCGTGATAATTCTAAGAGACTCGATGGGTGGTTTGAGAAAATTCGAGGGATGGAAAAAAGAAAATGTTCCTGCATAATCCGCACCCCGAAAACGTGCGGCCCTGATTTCAGGTGCATTGACCTACGCTGCACTCTTCGTTTCGACGCCTGCGTACACAATTCTCTCTTCCTCCATTTCCATCATCTGTATCCCCTCCCCCTTTCCACCCCTCCCCTTGTCGCCCTCTATCTCCACCTGTCTGTCTGTCTACCTGCCTGTTTGTCTGTCTGTCTCTTTCGTTTGTACACAGCTTGCTTTCCATCTGCTTTTCCACTCTCTCGCTCACGCTCTAGTGACTTTATTACGTTGCCAGAGAAGCAAGCAGCATCCATCCCTCATCAGATATTAATTCCTGTGACTTTCAGACGAATTTTCGCAAAAGCGCCACTTCGACGACGGCCACCATCACCACCACCATCATCACCATCATCATCCTCATCTGCACATTTGTTCTCTTCTTTTTCTCCCTTAACGCTCGGTCTTTCCCACCTACCTCCTTTTTTTCTTCGATTCGATACCCAGACGATTTCATCCGCAGAAACGTGTTCATTTTTAAGCGAGCCCGTCGTTCTCGTCTGGCTGCACCCCTCCTTTCTATACTACCCTTTTCTATGCCGCCACAACCACTACTACCACCACCTATATTCTTTTCTGTATAGATGATGAAAATATGAAAATCTTGGATAGACCAAAAGCAATCGTGCGAATTCCAAAGGAAACGATATTCGACGTTTCTATTTTTAAACAATAAGTTTTAATCACGTTGAATTTTATCTCTTTTTTTATTTTTTTCACCGTCCCTTCTTGTTCTTTTTTCTATTTTATTTTTTTTTCTCTCTCAAAATATTTGTATCTCTAATAAAGCAATACTTTTTTACGTTCTTACGTTTATTTCAAAAAATTTCTATACAGACTTTTCATTTTTCGTGACTCCCCCTTGAACATTTTACTTGATTTTTTCTATTGGGAAATATAATTGAATCTGACTCATTGCTTTGATCATACCAATTATATCAGTTTCCTCTTACTCCGGACACTTCCTTTTCTGCGTAAGAAAGTGTTAGAAATGTTTTAGCGAAATAAGGAAAGAATGGGCGTGTACGATTATTCAGCGAATTAGAGTAATGTTAGACATTACGAGAACAGAATAATAATGTATTTCAAATTTAAACGCATTTAACATAGTTAATGCGAACGATTCAATAAAGATCTAACGCGTCATGCATTTATAACAATCTTTTATAGAATATTATCTATTTTATCGTAAATGACATTTTTCATCTACATAAAAACAAAGTTAACTTTAATTAATATTTAATAACATCGTTTAATGATTAATAATAAAAATAATAAGAAAAAATAAATCTTTCAAAAAAATACTCCGTGAAGTAAAAATATACTTCCGGCAGAATGAATGAATGAATGATTTTATGAATGAAACTTTAGAAACAATGTCAATAACGTTCCTGCTGTCTTCTGGCATCTTGCCATTCATCCATCCATTCATCGAAAAGAAAAGTTTATGGTAAATTCAAAAGAAATGGTTGGAACGGTAGATCTAGCAAATGTTAAGCTCAAGATGAAATCTCGGTGGATCCCAGGGTCGAGTCATAATTTATTCCACCATTAATAACGGTAACTTTCTTTTCTTTCTTCATTGCGAATTTTCTCCACTCCCTTTCTACATATTTTTCTTGTTAACAATAAGAAATACAAGGATACATTAAGGAGGAAAAAAAAAACACAAGAAAATACACCGTAAAATATGTCTCTAATGTCATCTGAGGATTTATACATTGATGCAAGTAAAAAAAAAATACAAATTGTAATTGTACAAATAAAGCGAATTTTGAGAAATCATACATATATCTTATTTATTTGCGATCGATCACTGATACGAAAAACGGCAAGTTTCGTGGAGGAGGGAGGGGTCGCTGAACGAACATAAATGATTTTCTCGACAGAGAAATCCTATTTCATGACTCACATGGCATGATCTGACAAGACGTTTTGCTCGAACACGCCTCGCGGCTCGGTATGCTTTTATGGAACTCGATTTCGTTAAAAATAAGTTGCCATTTTTGGAAATCGATGAAGGACTTTTATCGACAGTCGCAATATAAACGAAACGTGATTCGTATAACGATGATGACGACGCGACAAACCAACCAACCGAGCGAACGTTCCAGACAAAAATATAAACGACTCCATTAAGAGTTAACACGTCATTTTAATTAAATCCACGCGATTAAATGTTCAGGTCAAGATAGCCTATCGAGATGTTTAAAAGATAGAGAGTATCAATAAAGGCGACAATGTAAATATTAAAGTCTCAATTTGAGCGTCGCGAATTAATACCAGTTAAACATAAAAGGAAAAGAACATTTTCGATACATTCAAGAAATAGAGTAATTATGCTAATTGATCCAATTAACGCTACCTACACATCCTTCCTACTTATATATATACATATATATACGAATCCTTTTTGTTCTTACATTCATAAGGGACATTTATATTTTCAGTACATAATAAATCAAACAAATCATATAGATATATACGATATATAGATTCATTTGGTGAACAACGATTACCACCACCACCCGCTTTCTCTCTCTCTCTCTCTCTCTCTCTCCCTCTCTCTTTCTCTCATTTATTTTGTCCTTCTTTTTTTATTGAAAACTATCTATATCGAGACTCATTCGTTCAGAAAACATCCTCGATGATATTCCTTACGAAACACGAAGCGGAATACATCAGTCTATCTTTTTACGAGAGGATTGTGGCTCGATTCGGATTCTATCCGAGAAACCACTGCTCCAACTTCACCACGCAACTCGTTCTTTACAGAGGAGTTTAAATTACACGGAAATATTGGGTTACGCGGCAACCGCGATATTACGGCAGAGGGTAGATAATGAAGGAGGAAAGATGTATTCAAAAAGCACTCGGGGGAGTACTCTAGACGATACGTATACTCTTCTCGCTTGTCCAATCTCTACAAAGTTTCTTAAAATATAGGTACAAGATATGATACTGCATTTAGAGATGCAAATAATATTATATCATATCTAATTGTAAGCATATCCAATTTTCAATTTCGTTCGATATAAAAATCACACACCTATACATATATATATATATATATATATATTACATATTACGAATCTTTCATTCGTTCCATTTTGTTAAAAGACTGAATAAAAGTCTAAACGAAAGTCCCTTCTTTTATCGATCCACTTAAACGTGCTATTTCGGAGGGTTGTTGGGCACCCTTATTATTTGGCAAAATGCGTGACAACTCCCTCTTCCTCTTTGAGTATATCAATTGAAATGACAAATGAGCTTGCTTTTTCAACGACAATCTTTATCTAGAAAATAGAATTAAACGAATTTTATTCGGGTAGAAAATGAATGCTTATCAATTCCGAGGATAGACGAAAAGAAAGTTTTTCGATTACGCCATCCAAATTTATTCATCAAAACAACCCCTAATCCACATTTGCCCCTTTTGTTTCTAATCGATATTTCGTACCTATATCCTAACCATGCGAAAGGATATATGGAAATGACAAAAACATTCATTCACAAGTCTAATGTTAAGTGTCTAGCGACGCTGTGATGACTCATTCTCGTGATTCATAAAGCCCCATTAGCAAGTTTGCAATTATCGGCGGTCAACACCATCGAGAGCGTTCACGCGCGTCAACTAATTCTAAACTCGATGCATCTAACCATTTAATTCTTCTCTCTCTATCTATCTATCTTTTTCTCTCTCGTTACATCGTGTTCCGTATAGCTGTATGAATTATGCAGATAGCTCGCGCATAAATCAAGTCCCATCCGCGGAACGATCGTTGAACTGCTCGTCGGCCCTGACCTGCTCTTTTCTTCTTTTTTTCTCCCTTGTGGATGCATATTGTTAGATGCGATTTTTATATACCGCAGCTTCCCTTTATAGAAAGGGTCTGGAGGAGATCGATCCTTTTTATTTTTAGTCTCTTTTTTACATTTTTTTTTCTACCCTAGAGATAGTATTACGTTACACACATTCAAAGCATGTATTTGATATCGAAAACAAATGATTGACAGAGAATTTCAAGAAAATTATAAGTTTTCTGAAATATTTCTATTTCTGATTAGATCAGATAAAACTAAGCTCATCCCCGATGTTTCGGTATTAGCCACGCCTCTGTGCAGATTTAATCGCGTTTTATGATAAGGTAAAATGCAATTAAGCGCCGCACCTACAGTTTCCATGCTGCATGGCTTATATACTTTCATATCTCTATACCTGTGTGTATGCATTTATGTATGTGCGTGTGTATAGCATGTATTACAGCGGGTTACCGACCGAGGAAAATTCGCGGACAATTTATAAGTTCCTTTCGCTCTTCCTGTTTCTTCTAATACTGTTAGACGAA